CAGGGATCTCAGTGTGGTCTTATGGTGTCACCTCAGGTGCCTTCAAGGGAAACTATTTTGATTTTTTTTTTTTTTTTTGCTTCTTTAGAACAGAAACACATTTGTCTGCTACCACTTATTTTAGCATAAGGATTAAACATCACCAATGTTTAATGAGCCCTGAGTCACTTCCATATATTAAGAAATTGAAGCTGTWGTCTGAAAGCAATCTGGATTTATTTATTTATGGATTTCAGCGTGGATTTATTCACAGAACTTAGTGGAAGACAGMTCCTGAACACAGTAGTATCTGTATCCTTTCCTTGCTGCCCAAAGGAGCACGTTTGGGGTTGATTTGTGTGGCAGCTTCTGGCTTGTATTATTTCAAGTCTTCGTGGCTATTGTCTGGTAAGAGAAGGCTTTAAATTCAAGGTGTGTCCCGAAACAGCGTGTTCTTTTAAGGCATAACTGTTTAGTTATGCTTAGAAAAGGTGGTAAATATGAGAAATGCAATACCAGCTATTGGCAAGTTAGTAAATATGGCACAGCAGCTGTAGTTTGCCGAAGTAATTGGCCTAATTTTTTCCACAGCTTTGTAAGATTAGTGACTAGGCTTGRAGTTGTTCTTTTTGTTGTTTTTGTTTTGATTTTTTGTCAACGCTTGTTGCAGATATGCCACAAAGCCAAGGTTTAAAGTGAATCGCTGTAAGAAGCATGTGATCTGTGTGTGACAGAGTGGTGCAGGATATATTCCTAAAAGGCATTTGGTAGGAAAGGAAAGACCCTTTGATTTAGACTGCTTTTATTTCCACTGGGAACTAGCTTCCCTCTGCTCCCAGCCCTTCCTCATGGGATACTGTGATCTGCTGATAAGGAAGTAGATGGAATATTGGTCATAAGRCTATTTTTCCTGTCTTTAATGATGTTCTCTCTGTTCTCTTCATATTACGTGAATGGACTTGTGCATATGGCATCTAATGCAGAAGGGGAACCTGGTGTTGCCTCTACTTTTACAGTCAAGAGTAAGGAAGGGTTATGTCTGTCGAGTGCCTGTGCTAAGCACTTGCTCCATTATCCCTGGAGAAAGCATTGCTGAGCTCCAAACAAAACCTGAAAAATCCAGGCTTCTCTCTTTCCAGTTACTTTCCAATCTGRACTCGTAAGATCTTCACGATCATTTACCCCTAAATGCCTCAGGAGGAGGGCTTGTTTATTTTGCAGGTGAGCACTCTGTGGTAGAGTTGGGCGAAGTGAGTTTTGCAGCATTTCACAGCTGAGAGTTGCTGATGAGGCAAACAAAGCATTGGAAAGTGTCTGGCTGAAATAATTGCTCCTCTGAGCCTGGAGTTGTAAATGCTGAAAAAAGATAATCCACCAAATGGGAAATCTTTTCTTCTCTTCTTTTGAAGCAAAATAATATAATGACACTTCTTTTCATTGACTTTTTTTTTTGAAAGCACTAATTATTATTAAAAAAAAGCCCTCAATGTCTTACGTGGATCTTATTATGTGGAGCCTATCTCTGAAATGAACACTCAGTATAAAACCTAATAGGTAAAAAGGAAGACATTGTGTAGCAGCTGGCATAAATCTTGTTTCTAATGAGGATAAAACCCATGTAAATGAATCATTGCAGTAAATTGTTGTAATTAGGATTTATTCATTACAAAGGTCGCATAATTACATAATCGACTTCTAGTGTATTAAGATCTATAGTCTGAGTTCCTAATTCTATTTTACTCATGCAGAAGCAAAATTTGCTAGGGGAGGAGTGTTTGCAGGAGGCTGTCGTGCTGCTTGCCCTGCAGTGTAGACAGCTTGGCTCCTTTGCAGGCTGATGCCGCTCCAGCATTGTTGTAGAAGGCTCAAATTCTCCTCCGTCAAAAACAAAAATATCCTCAACATCTTGCAGATACTTCACTGAAGCTGAGGTCTCCAGGATTTTTATAAGAAGATCTCCAGAGGTCTTATTTCAGCTTGACAGTAACATATACRTATGCTGGTCGTCAACACCTGAGATCTGTGCGACCCCAGAATGGACCGGCGTGGTTTGGAGTTGCTTCCAACTCGATGAGTCTCTGGATTTTAAAAGCCAAATAGTCTCYGTTTTTGGTCCAGCCCTTGCTGGTGGGCAGAAGGTTGGGTCGAGGCTGCAGGTAGAGGGTTGAGGCCGCTTGTCCAGCTCGGAGCTGCCCGTGGTGGCACCTTGGGCCACTGTCGTGTCGTGTGGACAGAGCTGCTCTTTGAGCCCCCGCAACGGGGTAATGCAGCAAAGCCTGAAGAGCACAACACAGAGGCCTTTATATCAAATAAATAAAATAAATGCCTTCCAGGCTGTTATCCAGACCCTTCCCAAACCATTTCCCCGAACAAAAACCTAAATACTTAAAAAAGCAGTTTCCAGGGAACCCCTTTTGACTTGGCAAAGCAGGAAGGCTTCCAGTGGTTAGCAGCGAACCACCAAAATAACCATGGAGTTTGGCCTTGCTTTGGGGGAGCTAGTAGYTAAAGGTGAACTTGGATGGGTCTGTGAGATCTGGCAGTTTATGGCGTACAGTTAAAATGAAATAGTTGGTTTTTTTCCTTCTAAGCAGTCTGGAGTAAAATGACATTATTTTTCCTGCCTCCTTTCCAAGCTGATGTCATTTAATAGCAGATTTTAAAGAGCGTGTGCTGTTCTTCCACCTACCAAAATTTGCCAAATTGTTGTGTTGAGATTTGGCTCTTTGTGGCTTCAAGAAAAGCCCTTCAACTATTGCCCTCGGCACAACCTCGGGCTGTTTCTAAATGCACCGCTGACTGAAAACATCCCTTTTGCTGGGATTACAGTTTCACGTTCGTTCTTTGTGGCGAGTAGGGTTTTGAATTGATTGCTCTTCAGCATTACTATGAGGGTTTTCAGTGTGTGGGGTGTTTTTGGTTTGTTTAATTCCCATGCAGTATTATGCTTCGATGCAGTTATTTAAATAACTGAATTAACTTAGTGGCAGCAGCCATTCTGCCCTGATTTTCTGTTCAGGGTAACGTCAGGTATTTGGACTCGGTATCGGCTCGGAATTTTGCTGGGATTGCAACGATTGCTCTCTCCTCTAAAAATGACTTAAGCTTCGTTTATAATGCTGGATCTAGGCAATTTGAGGAGGTTTCTTTCATAAGGGAAAACTTTTCTGCATAGGAAAAAAGATTTTTTGCATAAATTTTAGGATGGCTTAGCCGGGCTTATTTTATGTGCTTATTCATGAAACAAAGCCATGTTCGAAGGAAGTGCCACACTCCCTTCACACTAGAAGCTTTTGTAAGATGTTTCTTAAGCTATAAGAGGTTTTTATTTCCTTTGATTCCCCTAAAACTCCGGAGAAAATCAGGGCACCTTCAACCCTTTCCTCCTTCCCCATTTAATGCTGTACCAAGGGCATGTGTTCAGGTGCCCAAAAGCCCACAGATTTAATGGCTTTCTTGGAGCCCTCTAATGAATCACGTGGAATCCGTGCCCTGTTCTCCAGGCTCTGCTAAATATAGAGCCGTGCCCAGGTCGTGCCGTCCTCTGGCGTTACCGGCGCCGCCGCCTCCTTCATAAACACGCTGAGCTCCGGCCTGGAAGCTCCAGAGGCCGCTCCTGAACCTTGAGCRCTGTGAAAGATCCTTCTTATTCCCAACCTGAATATGGGGGTTGGCTTAGAGCCCTTTCTCCTTGTGTCAGCGGTAAATCCTTAAGCCTGAGTAGCTCTCCTGTCATCTTGGTGCTTATATGGATACACGGATGGATGACAAGCCTGGCCTAGGGAGTCTGAACGCGTCTGTGTATCCTCTTGCGTGGTGCCCCCCAATACACGTTTGCTTATGGATGGCCCTGTGTGCGAGCGAGGCATTCAGGTGGAGCCCCCACAACAATCCAGATCCCATCTCTCGGGCCCTTGTTTCCCCATCTCTGCTGGCAAAACTTGTTACTACTCCTAGTCGTTACCAAATTCTGATTTATGACTACATTTTATGCTCCGTGTTCCAGCACAGGGTCACAGTGACTTTACAGCTATTCAAATAAAGCATTTGTGGTTGTCCCCAAATTAACCTGTGCTGGAAGCCTTAACCACCTTCTGGTCTTTTTCTCTCATCCCTCAGTGTTTTCATTCCTGATTGCTGTTTGGTTTTGTTTTTCAAATCAGCTCTGGGCATGTTTTCAAATACCATCTTTCTTGATGTCCATTTGGAATATTCTGTGTGTGGTCCTACGGTGGAATTTCATTTTGTTTTCAATATTGCCTTTGTCTTCAGCTGCAGAGACATGAAATTTTAACTTCAGGCACCCCTTTGTTCCCTGAAAGATTGGAAAGTCTAATCTCCTGCCCACCGCAGTTATGAAAGATTTAGCTTGAAAATATTGCCCACACAATGAAATAGGAAAATGTGCTGAATTACCCGTGTGGACCGAGAGGTTGGTGTGGACTTTGTGGGACCATGAAGCCATGCAGGAAAGATTGCTGTCGTTGCAGGATGTGTCACCTTTCTTGGMAATTAGCTCTCAAATATCCTCAAGCTTTACTTGGCTATTGCAATAAATAAGGATTGCAAGACTCCTGCCGTGAGAGGCAAGAGTCCTGCCTCTCATTGCAGGAGTCTTTGAGATGTGTAGTGCCCTGTGGGGAGGGAGATGCCCTGCCAGGGAGGGGAGATGAGCACGTACAAATCTGGCCACGGGTATCCAGCCCTTAGGGCAATGAGAGCTGCTGTGGGGCTGGGTTGTCCATCACAGGCGTGCATGCACTCCCCTTTGGTAAAACTTGTTCTTTTGTGGATTTTTTTGTTTTGGTTTGGTTATTTTGTGATTTTTTTTCCCCTCCTTGCGAAAGAGGGTGAATTCCAGTAAATCCCACGTGCGTCCATCCTTGCTCCCAGGTGCTGATTTRGGAGAGGTCACAGCAAGAGACTTGGAGCGTTGTGGAGCGACCCCGTCGCCTCTGGTTGTGCTTAACCCATGGTTGTGCTTTGCTCATTTCCCCTTTCTTTTGCCTCTCTTAGGCTGCTTCAAAGATGACCGCATCGTGTTTTGGACTTGGATGTTCTCGACGTATTTCATGGAGAAATGGGCCCCCCGGCAGGACGACATGCTCTTCTACGTCCGTCGAAAGCTGGCCTATGTCGGTGGAGACAGCGCAGAGGGCAAGAAGGTGAGGGAGGAACGTGTGTTTGAACCTCAGGAGCCTGAGGGAACCTGGTGTTCGGTGTCCTGGGGTGCAAGCTGGAGTGAGGGACACCCATGGCAAGTTTTGTTGTGYGCCTGTAATGCTTCAGTTGCAAGTTGATGTCTTGAGGGAGGAAGGAAAAAGGAGGCTGTTGAATGAAGTAATTCAGAAAGGATTCATGTTAAGATACCGGAGCGCTCGGGGTCTGCTGGATGTTCYGTAGTGCCGGCTCCTGGAGCTTGGATGCGGTACTGACAGGTAGGGAAGCAACTGCTGTATCTTCAGGCGTGTAGTACACATTTAAGGCAATCTACACTCCTTGAGAAGGATTTTTTCATAAAACAACGAGTCGGGTAGTCTAATGCTACTGCACACGTATTTCTAGTTAGAACTGACAAACTTCTCAGCCTTTCATGGCAGATTTTCCCTTTCTTTGGCGGGGGGGGGCTTGCTCTGCTCGCCTACAGGAGCAACCACCCTATAGTGCTGTTGAATCATAAAGGTGTGTGTGTTTGTTTCTAAACCAGATACACCCAACCTTCTGGGTGAAAATGCGACAGTGTTAAGGAACATGGGGGTTAATTTTCTTGTTAAAGGGCTCCTGAAATGTTTTCCGAATTTTTTCCTGGAGATGCATGAAATAAGCTGACGTGTCTTCCCCCTGCTTCATTCGCTCTCATCTCCAGTTCCATCATGGCACCTACTGGGGGGGAGACAAGGAATAAAATGCTTCTTTTTGCCCCCTGTCAGATCAGGGGGCTGGCCGTCTCTGGTGAGGAATTTGGGGTCGTGTATTTAGACCTTAAGCCGATTTGTCCAGACCCCAGTCCGTTTTCTGCTGCTTAAAGGGTTTGAACCTGCTCATCTTCCCCAAGGGGAGGCAGTGGTGAAATGTATCCTTGCATTTCATCCCACAGCTTTATTTAAGCCTCCTAAAAGGGCCATAAACATTTTTGATTTGTGAGAGTTTATCGGGAGTGCAAGCTGTTAGAAAGTCCCCTGTCAACAAGGAACGAGTGGCAATTCATCAGCCAGTTCTCAGGTTTTGGCGGCTGTCTTCTGTGGTTAGGTGGCTTTGATGCCCGTACGTTTTTGTTTTGGTTTTTTTTTTCCTGTACCTACAAGAGCAGAAGAGCTTCGACAAAAGCATTTTAAAACTACATTTACATTTGATTTTAAAATCGAAGTGTAATAGAGCAAAGGTAAGCGAGTAGAAAACCCTGCTAGGTCAATTTCTGTTTAAGGTTGAAGGAGAGGGAGTTGGATTCACCTTTAGTAGTAGCAGCAGCTTGAAACAAGGGCTTCAGTTATCTGTCAATCTCAGAAGATGATGATGATAGTGAGGCGTAAGGTGGTCTGCTTTTAGACCACCTCATTTCTAGAGGTTTTCTTCTTCTGTTTCTTCCACTTTACTAATTTATTAAGCTCTTAATATGGTCTGTGCTGGAGCAGAAGGCCCAGACCTAATTCTGAGTTACAATCATTACCCAGACTCCAGGCTTTGGGAAGTGCAGGCAGTGCTGCTTTTCCTTGGCATTTCAGTGCCCCTCCTGCCGGTTTCCCTCCCAGGCTTTGAAGATCCTTGCTGTCCTTCTCTGAGCAACATCACAGCAACATCCATCTGTTGGAGTGAGCATAGGTCGGCTGTTATGGGGAGTTCCTGTTGCAAAGTTAAGAGATTCAGTATTTGGGGTTTTTTAAAATTTTTTAGGGTAGACTTCCTCTGCCTTGTGGCTTTTCATGCATCGTTACGTCAAGATAAGAAAAATCCCTTCACTGCTACCTCACACACCAGCTAATATGTGGAAATGTAAGCCCTGATTTTTCACTTCCAAAGAGCCTTATGCATTGCCAAAAGCTGTAAAGAGGTTAAAGTGGTTGGGCTTGGCATTCTGATTTTAAAATGGCATTAGATMAAGTTTTGCTGTCTCTGCCCCTTTCCAACGCAGTAGGCGTTTATATAGGATTACACTGTGCTACAGTTGCAAGCTTTTGATCCCTTCTATAGAAGAGCTTTGCTCTCTCATTGGATTAAAGAAGATGCTGGGGTGGTTTTGAGGGAGCCTGCTAGAGAGGCAAGCCAAACCACCCCTCAAAGAGAAGCGCAGCAGCGGAGCGAGGCTGCAGCAACCCCTTCAGCCTTGCCCCGTGCTCTGCTACCTGCAGGATGTGCTGCCTCCGTGGGGCAAAGATGAAGGCAAGAGGTGAGAAAGGGGCTATCCCTTCCAGGGCATGTTCTGAGCTTGCCACGCTCTGCTTTGCCTTCTGTTCCGCTTCTGCCGAGCGCTTGCTAAGGAATCCCTCACACTCTGAAGTTTTCCATAAGTTTAAGGGAGCTGTGTCAGCTTCAGGAGCAGAGCTGAACACGACCTCGGGCACAACAGGTATTGGCTGAAGGAGATCCTGCAGCCTGAACAGCATGCAGCAGAACTGCAGGGGAGGGAGTTACAAAAGTTACTTTGCTGCCCCTGTTGTGCCATTCAGACCAGCATGTTTTGGTTTTCTGATTGTTTTCTTTTCCCTAACGTTGTAACAAGCAGCATGTTGTGCACAAATCCGTGCAGCGGGACAGCGCTTCTGTACCCACGCCCCTAGTTATTTGGATAGAGGCTGGAACTCTGCGGGCCATCCCAGACAGTGGAATGAAATAGATGCAATATACAGAGTACTTTTGAATGGAAATAGGTGCAATATACAGAGTACTTTTTCAGCATGTCCAATGTAGTGATTTCCTGCCTCAAAGCAGCAACCTTGAAAGTTGATGTGTTTTTATGCCCTCACACGAAGGGGTGAACAGCTTCTTGTATTTACAAGAACTCTTGTATCTTTTCAGGGGTGTTTTCCTGTAGAGTAGTGAAGTGCAAAGGTTAGAGAGCAGTGTTTTTGGGCTTTGAATAGGGAGGGAAGCGGGTGCTTCTGGCTGTCAGCTGATGTGATAGATGGGCCTTGATGCGTTTCACTCATCTCATTCATTGGAGAAAAATGGGGTCTGACGTTAAAGCTTGCAGCTCCGTTTGGAATTGATAACAGAAGAAAATCGATATTTTTCCRCCCAAAGCGCCGTTCCCTGGGAGGGGAGGATGCCGACGGATCGAAGCAGGCTCGGGGCTTGCAGTGAGTCCCGTGCTGAGGAAGCAGTGTTGTTACCCTGGGCTTTCAGGGGCTCCACAACTCGGAGCACCTTTAGCTCTCAGTTGAGCTGGAATCTCAGCTCAAGAGCAGCCACGTGCCATTAGGGTTGGGAAGTGTCAGGAGGGAGATGGAGCTATAAGGATTTCTAGCAGTGCCGCAGAAGAATACTGGACATTGCATTGTTTTAAGAGGAAACAGAACACAGGGCAGAAAAAAACAGGTTGCAGGGGAAACTTGAAGTGATCACTGTGTTTTTCTGCTCTCCCTTTCCTTTCCCAAGTGTCTGCCAAGCGTTTCAGCGCCGCAGTCGAAGTGACCGCGTGGCTGGTGACGTGCAGGGCCCTGCATTGCTGCTGCTCGCGGGGCTGTGAAGTTTTTCTCTCAGAAAGAAACTCCTTGACCGGCACAAGGAAGAATTTCCAAGCCGTCTGAGGAGGATTCTCTTAAGGACTCAAGTTTTAAATCCTACCTGATTCTTAGAAATGATGGAGGAGGGGGAAAATCTGAATGTCTTGCTCGTTTAAAATTCCCAGATTAACTTTCAGCTCTTATGCAGACTAAACTCAGGTGACTGGAAGCTGTGCTGAACATGGTCAGATGTAGTGAAGTTGCTGCCTGTTTTTAAGCTCCTTAATTGATACCAATCCTCAGCAATAAAAGACAATAGTGCTGTTAATCATATAAATCATTCTTCCTGTAAATGTCTTTCTAAACATGTCTTTCCAGCTTCATAATGGCATGTGGAGCCGTTAAGTGAAAACAAAACCTAAAATGAAATTTTTACCTTGTGGGCTTCTGCCCTGAAGGTATTTGTACCAAATAGAAATGTTTTGTACAATCAGGTGGCTTTTTAAGCCTTCCTCATCATTCACCATCTTATTTGTAATTCTCTGCACTTCAGTTTAAAAAAAATATATTTAGGACCTCAGTATAAGAGCAGTCGCTCCCATGGCTGTGGGCTTTCCTCCTCTTACACACCCAAGTTTATCTATCCAGCAATCCCCTCATTCATGGGAATGACTGCTGTAATACTGAGATTACATTGCACAAGAGGTGAGAAAGAGGACAGAGGCAGAGAGGGCATCGGGTTCATCTGCTTATTCAAACAGAAACAGCGTCTCCACGAGAGAAATACAGAGTGTGTCACTACAAAATCTGGATGATTTTGACCTAAATTGATTTCCAGATCCAGCTTTYTATTTACAGATAGAGAGGGCAAAGCCGAGCGAATAGTTTGTTTACTCTTCAGCTTGGGAAGCGTGTTTGGGGGGCAGCTTTGCTGAACACGGCGCTCCGGATGAGCGCGGGATGGAGGAGGACCCGGACCTGTTGCAGACGTGGTTTTCGTGTCGTGAACCATCCTGAGGCTGCCGTGTGAAGGCTCCGATCCCACCAGCAAACACCCTTACGTGTCCTTGCCTGCAGATTCAGGTAGTGTTGCTGTAAATCTCCCAAGTTGAATGTTGAAGCTAAATGTCAGTGTTTAGTTCGCAGAAGTAGAGCGTGAATGTCGGGTGTACTGCGTTGATCTGCTCTGCAGTTTCTCATCTGTAGGTTGTGGATGAGCAGCAGAAAGTACAGTCRCCCAGCCTTTCTCTCCTCAGCAAATGGAAGAGGGAGTCCAACACCATGAGCAGATTCTCATATCCCGTTTGGACCTTGGAAGGAACCTCCGTAAGGTGCTGGAGCCTGGAWTTCCTTTTGGCTGGTGTGATTTACCTGGAGGCTCTGAAAAGTAAAGGCAGCTTTCTAGATCTTTCATGACTAATCCTGCCGATACAGCTTTTGGTTGTACCCAAGAAGCTGTGGGGAGAGGATTTTAAGTAAATAATATTTAAACAAATAACAAAATG